CCAGAGTCTTTCATGTCATAATGCCACTAGCCAGCCTTCTTTTGCACACGGCTCTGTTGTCTGTTCTGAATGTTAGATGTAGCCACGCCCCCTGATTTGAATAGAAGAACGTGAAATGTAAGACGGCATTATGAAATAAAAGTACCATGAAATAATTACATGTATTTAATATTTAAATTAACGTGGGTGTGAGGCGTTATTGATTAACGTGGGTGTGAGGTGTTATTGATTAACGTGGGTGTGAAGTGTTATTGATTAACGTGGGTGTGAGATGTTATTGATTAACGTGGGTGTGAGATGTTATTGATTAACGTGGGTGTGAGGCGTTATTGATTAACGTGGGTGTGAGGCGTTATTGATTAACGTGGGTGTGAGGCGTTATTGATTAACGTGGGTGTGAGGCGTTATTGATTAACGTGGGTGTGAGATGTTATTGATTAACGTGGGTGTGAGATGTTATTGATTAACGTGGGTGTGAGGTGTTATTGATTAACGTGGGTGTGAGGTGTTATTGATTAACGTGGGTGTGAGATGTTATTGATTAACATCGGTGTGAGATGTTATTGATTAACATCGGTGTGAGGCGTTATTGATTAACATCGGTGTGAGGCGTTATTGATTAACATCGGTGTGAGATGTTATTGATTAACGTGGGTGTGAGATGTTATTGATTAACGTGGGTGTGAGATGTTATTGATTAACGTGGGTGTGAGGTGTTATTGATTAACGTGGGTGTGAGATGTTATTGATTAACATCGGTGTGAGATGTTATTGATTAACGTGGGTGTGAGATGTTATTGATTAACATCGGTGTGAGGTGTTAAAAACCTTTATAGATGAATTGTTTGCTGGCGGCTTTGGTGATTCTCTTTGAGCTCTTTGATGCTTCCACAGGAAACGAACCCGCCCGCATGAATTGCTCCACCCGGTTCAAAAAGTCAAAAGATGGCATCTGTGAACAGAAATGATTATTATTATTACAGTGGCCAATCTGATCTGAAGACAATGTATTGATTAGCCAGCTGTGGGAAGAGCCAATCACAATTTCGTTTTTGTTCTCATTTTAGTGTTCATGAGAAAATAGAAGATTGTTTGCTTACTTTTGTACATTTCGTATTTAAAACCAGGAGGCATTTGTAGAATTTGTGATAATGCTGCTGTTTATAAGCATGACATTTATTTAGATTACATTTGGACAGAAGTTTAGTAAATAAAATTGTATTTCATCAGATTAATTTTTGATTTTAGTCACTCTGTTAGTGACGTGATTGGAATTGAAAGGAATAATAATAATAAAAAATTAAATCGATTAGTTGAAAAAAACTGCCAGCTGCATGTATCGATTCAAATGATATCGATCTGTGAAAACAGAAACACGGACGTCTCGGCACGTGACGCTTAAGACATTTTTCACGGCACTTATCGATCATTTCATTTCATCTAAGAGGCGAACGTTTAAAGTTTCCCACCTTAGAACATCTTACGTCCGGTAAACACAAATCCTCGTTACACCGTCATCGACTTTCAGCAAAGACGCAACTTTCACGCGATATCTTTCAACTCAACGGTTTGTTTCGACGACTTAAATCCTTTTACGTCTTTTAAATGTAAGAATATATTTGACAAAGGGTTACATTTCAGGTTGAACTAGAAGCTAAATGTGGCCATAGGTGGTTCGCGCATTTAAGCCAGCGGCAGCAGTGTCACTAGTTCCGGTTTGGTACCTTTCATAATAAAAGGTTAAATTGAAATATAAAATTAGAAACTGTTATAAAATATATGCATTAATTGATGAAGGAATATAAAGCACGCTTGTTGTTAATGTGTAACAAGATTTTTAAACATGTGGCATTGTATTCAAAATACATAAAGATTCATAAATATAACTAGCATGAATTTTTTTTCATTTGTATTTATTAAAATCAAATCCTTAAAACGAATTAATAAGTGTTGATTTATATTACTATGTGCTTATTTCAGGCCCACAGCTGAAACTAACATTTGAGCCTCTGTTGGACATTAAAGGCTGATTATGTGACTTATGTGCCATCATCTTTCAAAACAAACACATAAAATCAGGTACAAAACTTCAAATTGTTGGTATGTTTTATTAATCAAGCCAATTAGTTAAAATGATAAAAATACGTTACCATCCAGTAACCATCCTTTTTTTTCATATTCCTCCAATTTTCATTATCTTATTTTGGCGGGTTGGGTGATCAACCGGAGACCGCATTACTCCTTCTTACCGCAAAAGTGACAGAAAAAAGGGTTTGACGCAGGTTGTAAAAGCTGCTGTAACCCAAGTTTACTGATCGCTGCTCGTTTCCGGTCCATGACCCGCCGCACAGCGCCCCCCGCCGGCCCGGAGGAGAAACTACACCCACTAATTAAACATGACAATACTTAACAAATACTGCATTTCAAGGAAAAAACATTCGTCAGGCAGAGGTATTGAACTATGATCATTTATATACACTCAAGATAGTAAAAGAATAATGAACAAGTAAATAAAATAAAACCCTGCAAGTGTTTTTATTATTATTATTGCAGATTTCATCAGTTTTTGTCTGGAAGTCGAGCTGTCATATGAATCAAATGCTGTAAAAAAGAGATCAAAGTGGAGTAGAAGTACAAAGTAGCATAAAATTAACGTCAAATTCAAAGTGAAGGGCTCGAGTGAATCCACTAAATGACATTTTTCCTCTCTGACTTAGTGAATCCTACATTTCTGTTTCAGTTCATAATGTTCTGAAATCATGCAATGTTTTTTTTAACCTCCCGTGTTCGCGTGGATACTCATGGGGAGACCTTCTGTTAAATAGAGCGGTATGCTGGAGGACCAAGAGTGGCCTTCACAACAGTCCCCGACCTCCGTCCCCCCTCGACCATGTGACAGATGTCCCCGAACGGGAAGCAGCTGCTGTTCTTCTTCTTCTTCTTCTGTGGAGTTTTTAAAACATTTTGTGGGGTCACGAACAGATTTTTAAGACTCCGAATCATTGGGAAATCAACTTTTAATGTCTGTGTGTGGCTTTGCTGTCGGACGTTGGTCTCCATGGTGACCGCGGCAGAGCGTCCCTCCTCAGAAGTCCACGAGATGCGTGTACGGCCCGTTGGTGTCGAGCTTCAGCACCTGTCTGTTTCCGTACGTGCCGTGCTTCACTGAAGCGGCCGCCAGCCGCTCCTCGCACAGAGACACGAAGGCGGCGTAGAGCCGCAGGCCGTCCTCCTTGCCGATGTTGTCGTGGTACTGCAGGGCTCGACCTTTGGCCTTCCCACCCAGCGTGGCCTGAGGGACAATCAGCAGGTCGCCGGGGAGCTCCGAGACCGAGACCATCTTCCCCGAGTCGGACTCGCAGAGCCGCAGGTTCAACAGCGTGGAGGCTGGAGGGGGAGAGCGGGGAGGGAGGGAGGGGGAGGGTTACTCTCAGGGGAGGGGTGTCGCCATGCACGCCAATACGTATAGTGGGAGAACAAAGTAAATAAAAGCCAAGACTAAGGAGGAAAAGAAATCTGAAGAGTGAACAGGATGTCAAAAGAACTGTAAATATGTTTTTAAAATGAAGAAAGGAGGAGACAATTAGAAATATGCACATATTAAAAGTATAAAGAAATACGTGCTACGTTCAGATGTTATGATAAAAGAAATGTTAGTGTGACAAACACAGCCAGATGTGACTTTATGCAACGTGAAGGTCAAAGGCTAAATGCAGTGACTGACCCATCTTGGGCAGGAGGTCGTCTGTGGCTCCTTTAAAGAAGCAGATGTAGATCACCATGCCTCTCTCGATCTGAAAACAAGCGGCCTTCAGGGTCAAATGAAGTCAGCGGCCTCTTTAAATGATCTCATCATTAACTAACTCATATCCCTTGTCATTAGACAACAGAGAGGAAAACGGCCAACAAGGTGCTGATTTGACTTCTTTACATCTGGGGATTTCTCCTAAATACAAAATAAGTTACCATAACATAACGCCTCATTTGAATATTTAAACATAACATTTCAGAAAACTTTTGATGAAATGCATATTCAACTTAATAGCAATAATGAACTGGTAGAATATCATGTCGATATCTATTGTTACGGTCTATTTTCTGATTAAAAGTATTTTATTATGCCGATTTAAATAAAGTCTCTCCCATTATATATTTTATTTCCGTTATTTGACTTCCTCCCGTAAAGCACTTTCTACAAATAATGCTTGCTAATATGAATCTAACAAATGTAAAGCTTCCCTGCTTTGTGATCGTCTAACACCTGTGATTTGGTTTTGATTGAACGCATTTGATTCATCCCAGTACATTTTACAGAGAACATAACGGGAGACGCGTCATGGGACGCTCTCACCTGGACGAACTGAGCCTCGGCCTCTTCCTCTGCAGGTTTCACCTGGAGTCTGGCCTGCAGACACTGCTGAAGCACCGCCCGGGCCGCCGGGCCGCCCCTCTCCGCCATCCCTGCTCCTCTCTACTGGTTTAAACTCTGCAGAATGAGAAACGAACTTTAAGAGAAACAACTTTGATTCATGAACTGAAACAAACGTTTGTGATCTTAAGGAGAAATCACCAAGCAGCACACTTCCGCATTGATGTCATCTAAAGGAGCTCAAAGCTGCGCATTGTTTTTGCAGTCATTCATCTCTCTCTCTCTCTCTCTCTCTCTCTCTCTCCCAATAGGCTTCTTTTAAAATCCAGATTATTTTTAAATACCATGGATTATTCAGTATTAGTATCAGAATCTGTTTATTGCAATGCAATTTGACTCCAGTTGCATATGCACTCTATTACAAAAACACAGTACATAGAATAAGAGGAATATACACCAGGAATACACATATACCACACGCATTTAATAAGTTAGTACATATCAATAACAGATATGTACTAATTTATTAAATGCGTATGTTTTAAACACGTACATGCGTATTTTGCGCAAGCTTGATGCGCTCTACAGCAGCTAGCCGCGGAGCATCTAAACAGCTAAACATGGCTCCGCTCACATACAGCAGAATGTCTCATTTACTGAGGTCGTCCATTAACAGACTCTCCGTTATAAGAACCGGGGACGAATCAAAACCGGGACCTGCGTGTTGTGTTCAGTTCGCACGCTGCCAGGTAAGATCTCCGCCTGTGAGCGCGAGTTTCAGTTAAGCTGGCTAACAGCGTCATGCTAACGTCAAGCTAGACACAAAGCGAGAATCAGCATACCGGAAGATTTTCAGAATAAATGCCTAGTGGTTATTTAGCATATTATGTGGGGTTAAGCGAATTTAAAATGTCCAAAATGTCATTTTTCATACTCATGAAATATCGATTTCATTTGGGCATCATGTAATATAGCAGGCGTGTAGTTTCAATTGGTAATGTATCGATGTGACGCTCACAACCGGAAGTGCTTAGTTATATTAGTCAGGATTTATTTATAGTCGCAGCTACTGAAATACTCTTACTGATCAACAAACTGTATTAAAGAAACGTTTCAAATGATTTTAATCAGTTATTTTCTAATATCAAAACGATGTTATCACCAGTGCTAGAAACATTTGATTTCTTAACATTTGGAATTAAAAATGTAACCTTTCTTTATGGATCAGATAGACATGTAAACCAATCAATCAAACGGTTTCCAACGAGCCATAAAGCTGCAGTAATAGTTGCAGACGTACTGCAAGTCTAAATGTTTAGTTGGTTATACATTTTGGTTCCAGATACTGATGATCAATATCTAATGAAATATATTATTTTTTAAAGACTTGGCGCTGTGAAACATTGAAATCTTATTAACAACTTAAAGTGATCTTTGGAGACCGTTTTGATTATCCTCCTCAAAAGTAAACTTCTCATTTTGTTTGACCAAACTCCATGTTAAACGTATTTCACTGCTATTATCACAAAATCCTTTGAGATTATTGGTAAATTGAACATGTCTACGATCCAAAACGCACCCTTTACATGATTAAAATGAAGAAACGCTAAATGTCCGATAGATGACAAAGCGGCGGCGGTCAGACCCCCCCAACCTCGGTGTCCTCTGTTTGTCCCAGAGGTCGGGGGACAGCCAGGCCTTACAGGAGAGGCAGAGGCAGCAGATGGCCAAAGGTCTCCCCCGGCAGAAGCCCATCGCCGGGGTCAAACAGGTCGTCGTCGTGGCTTCGGGGAAAGGGGGCGTCGGCAAGTCCACCACGGCGGGTACGACACAAGCTGCTCCTGAAACATGTGTTTCTGGACAGAAAATACGCGTTTAACGTCTATTTCTTTCTGTGTCTGCAGTGAATTTAGCTCTTGGATTGTTGGCCAACGATCCGGTGAGGAAGAATTACGCATATTTTATTTCATCATCTGTATTGTAGCCAATAGTTGTCTAAAACATTTAAACCCTTCAGTTTTAATTCCTCTTATTTCCGCCCCTCTCAGCTCAAGTCCGTCGGCCTGTTGGACGCCGACGTCTACGGCCCCTCGATTCCCAAACTGATGAACCTGAAGGGAAACCCGGAGCTCAGCGACGGTGCGGCGCCTCACTAACTTCCTGTTTGTCTCTTCTTCTGCTCCAGCGATCACTTACTTCTGCTTCCTCTTTCCTCCAGACAACCTGATGATCCCTCTGGTGAACTACGGGGTTCCTTGGTGAGTCCCTCCGGTCCCAAATGCCCCCCTCCCTCCGGCTCTGACCCTGTCCTGTAACCGCTCTCCCTCCAGCATGTCGATGGGCTTCCTGGTGGACGACGTGGCCCCCATCGTGTGGCGGGGGCTGATGGTGATGTCAGCGATAGAGAGACTGCTGAGACACGTGAGTAACGTCAAGCGTCTGTGGCTGGACGATGAACCCGGTTGTGATGGACGGGGTGGGGGGGGCGCGTGTGTCGGTAGGTGGACTGGGGGTCTCTGGACTATCTGGTGGTCGACATGCCTCCGGGGACGGGGGACGTCCAGCTGTCAATCTCCCAGAACGTCCCGGTAGCCGGTGAGTCAGACGCCCGTCCACACGGAGCAGAAACGAAGAATAAGTTACTTCATCCGATAATAATAAGGAACAATTACTAGTAACGCATTTAATGAGAAGACACTATTTTAATAATAACACAATAATTAAGAGCGGTTTGACAATGGATGGATGGATGGACAATAATTAATAATCATAGAATCGTGTCTTGTGTTCAGGCGCCGTCATCGTGTCGACGCCACAGGACATCGCCCTGCTGGACGCCCGCCGCGGCGCCGAGATGTTCAGGAAGGTCCACGTGCCGGTGAGCCGCGTGTGTGTGTGTGTGTGTGTGTCTGTCTGTGTGTGTGTGTGTCTCTGTGTGTGTGTGTGTTATTCACCTGCAGAACGTTGTCTAACCCTCGGGGGGTCACTGCAGGTTCTCGGCCTGGTGCAGAACATGAGCGTCTTCCAGTGTCCCAAATGTGACCACCGGACGCACATCTTCGGCTCCGATGGAGCACGGCGGCTCGCCGACACGCTGGGGGTCCAATTACTCGGTGAGGAGGAGGAGGAAGAGGAGGCCTCTTCATACATTTTTACGATATAGCTTCTTTTCCAATGTCCACGTCTCTGGTTCTAACGTCCCATGTCTCTGGTTCTGTCGTCCACGTCTCTGGGTTCGGTCGTCCACGTCTCTGGTTCGGTCGTCCACGTCTCTGGTTCGGTCGTCCACGTCTCTGGGTTCTAACGTCCATGTCTACTAACGTCCATGTCTCTGGTTCTAACGTCCATGTCTCTG